TCAAAATTCTTCAACAATTGAAACGGTAAGCAGAATACTCTTCTTTCTATCCTCTTATAACTAGCAAGTTCGTTCTAATTTTGACATCTTTTTATAGACTTAATTACACGAAGCCGACACCCATTCAAGCTCAAGCAATTCCGTGCATAATGGCTGGTCGTGACCTCATTGGTATCGCTAAAACAGGATCGGGGAAAACGCTCGCATTCCTCATTCCTATGTTCCGCCATATTTTGGATCAACCAGAGCTGGAAGAGCTCGATGGTCCTATAGGTAACGTGTTGAAACTAAGGTCTTTTAAAAATTACTGTTTGTAACCTTCAATTTTCAGCTATAATAATGTCTCCTACCCGTGAGTTGGCCATGCAAACGTGGAAGGAAGCGAATAAGTTCGCGAAGGTATGCTGCCTAATTGTTCAGGGTATAGCAAGAAGTTCCACAGGCAAGAACTTATATTTGCAGGTCCTCGATATTCGTGTGGTATGTGTATATGGTGGTGTAGGAATATCCGAACAAATCGCAGACCTGAAACGAGGCGCGGAAGTGATTGTGTGTACTCCTGGAAGAATGATTGATATGCTTGCAGCAAACAGCGGTACGCGAAAATTCCAAGTTTTTTCTCAAGTTTCATTTCCCCCTGCCATCTTACTTTATTAATACGTGTATTAAATCCCTATTAAAATATGTATATCACTTATAATTTTCTTGCGAGAGGATAATGATGGGTGTTGAAGGAAAAGTGACGAATCTGCGGCGAGTCACCTATCTCGTACTCGACGAAGCTGATCGCATGTTTGACATGGGTTTTGAGCCACAGGTAGGAGTTGGTTATTATACCAGTATGCATTTGCTGAAAATCACTGGGAAAATAAGTTACTAAGAACGTTCTGCATTTTTTAACAGGTTATGAAAATCATCAACAACATTCGTCCAGATCGACAGAGCGTCTTGTTTTCAGCTACGTTCCCACGCCAGATGGAAGCGCTTGCAAGGAAAATACTCGACAAACCAATCGAAATACAGGTGGGCGTGAAATGAATTCGATTTGGAATTCCTTCTAATAATGTTCCTGTGTAGGTCGGCGGCAAGAGTGTTGTTTGTGCTGATGTGACGCAAAACGCCGTGATTCTGTGAAGAACACCAGAAATTACTGAAACTCCTCGAGCTGCTTGGAATGTACTACGAAGAAGGGAATGTGCTTGTGTTTGTCGACAAACAGAAAAGGTACGATTTTGCGAGGAATTTTTGTAAATTGTCGTAGCCGACGGGGTTGTCCCAGGCTTCTTTCTGAGCACAGTTCATAATTAAGAATGAGTTGCTGATGATTTGCTTCAGGCCGACGACATTGTTGCCCAGTTGATGCGAAATGGATATTCATGCGCTCCGCTCCACGGAGGGATAGACCAGTTTGACAGAGACTCAACTATCACAGACTTCAAAAATGGAACGATTAAAATATTGGTGTGTGAATAGTTCAAACATTTCTTAGACTTTTGAACTGTATTACGTTGTTTGCGTGACGTTGAAGTTTGCCTATTTTATAAGCTGTTCTGTTTCAGGTTGCTACTTCTGTCGCTGCCCGTGGTCTTGATGTCAAGAATCTTATATTGGTTGTCAATTACGACTGTCCCAACCATTATGAAGACTACGTTCACAGGGTACGCGTTTTATCATAAAGGCTTTAACAGACAGACATTGATTGAGTCATTTTCAGGTTGGTAGAACTGGCCGTGCAGGACATAAAGGTTACGCCTACACGTTTATTCTGCCTGAACGTACGTTTTCTTCATACTTTTTATAAATTTGATTAGCTTTGGGTGCATTTTTTAAGATCATATTTATTTTGAAGCTTGACATTTCCCATGTGGTCGTTGGTTGTAAAAGTTTACTTTGAACGGATCAGTTCAGATGATTTCAGTGAATCAGTTTACTTCGACGCTGCTCTGACGTTACCTTTTTCAGATCAGGAGCGTATGGCAGGAGAAGTTTGCCGTGCCTTCGAAACTGCAGGAGCTAAACCTCCTGCTGAACTTAAAGCCATGTTTGAAAAATTCAAAGCTGAAATGGCAGCGCAAGGCAAAACTGTCCATCTCGGTGGGAAAGGGTAAGTAACAGCCGAAGATGCTCCCATTCTTGAGGCGTTTGTTCCTTATTGCTCCATTTTAAGCTTTGCTGGAAGTGGTTATAAGTATGACGAAGACGAGGCAGAAGCAGAGGCGACAAAGAAGAAGATGACGCGATTGGTTGGTTTTTTGCTATACTTCTTCTTCTGAGTAAGGTATTGGCTGTTCTAGGTGTGCGGCATGGAGCACGGTGCGGATGACGATGACGAGTTGGACGAGCAACTCTCGATGATGATCAAATCGAAACGAAGGGTAGTAGAAGGACAAATGGGACAGGGTTCATCTAAAAAGAATACCGATGTCGAGGATAAGGTGAAATATCGTGGTTGTGAAGTTTGCTCTGTCAAAAAGATACATACTTATTCACTGTATTGCACAAGTTATTTTAGGTTGCGAAAGCGAAGGCACTGGCGGAGAAGCTTGCTTCTCTCCGAAACCTCAACGCTCCGGCTGAAAAAGATGCTGCTCAGAAAGCGGCTGAAGCAATCATGAAGGTGGGAAGATTTCGAACATGCAGCCGCACTTTGTTTATTACTAATCTTTACTTCAGGGTGGAGACATGGCTCCTATAGAAATGACATCAAAGATGATCGCCAAGCAATTAGCCGACAAGTTGAACGAAAAACTCAATTATCTGGGAGGTAAGGCTTTCGAAAAAGCATCACAAATTTTCGGTGGTCCTGTGAACCACTGGAAAGTTTTCATGCACGAAGAGATGGCAAGTGTATGAAATCATGCACTAAAAGCGAAGGCCTCCCAGCGAAAATTCAGTGGAAGCTTTCGCTTCTTCTGCATGATTTCATATGTTTGCCATCTTTTGGTCGAATTGCTCAGTGTGCTTTTTCCTTCGGTCTACTAAGCATCAATAGTCGCGTAGAAGATTACGTTTGAACCGGTGCTCGTTTTCAGGAGAGGCGTTACCGGAGATGAATCAAGAAGAAGAATGGCAGTATTTCGAAGAAGAGCTTGATATTAATGACTTCCCGCAGCAAGTCCGGTATCGTGTCTGCAGTCGGGTACGCGTTTCAGTTCACCGATTGATCAGTCATTCGTCTACGGAAAATTTCATTTATTTCTACTTTGGTATATTTTACTTGTGGAATGAGTTTTTTGCACTGTATAGGGACTGCTGAATGGTCCTTCAAACACAGTATGAAACAAAACTGCGCTTCTCATCTTTAAATGAATGCCAAATTTCAAATTGCTTCTTGTTTTGAAAGGGCATTTAATGGCGGTCGAGGGCATGGCGCACCTCAAAATTGATTTCTTAGCGAAGATAGATTTATTTTTTTCTTTACTTGAATCTTGATAGTCATGGGTTTGATTTTTTCGAAGGAAACTAGCCGTCTCATATTTTAGGAATCTCTTGGTCATATTTCGGAATTTGCCGATGTTGGGATATCAGTAAAAGGTTCGCACTACCCACCAGGGAAGGAGCCAAAGGACGGAGAGAGAAAGCTATATTTATTGTTGGAAGCCCGACATGAAAGAAATCTAAAGTGTGCGAAGGAAGAAATCATCCGCATAATGAAGGATGCATTCCGACAACTGGTGAGGATTTTTTTTTCGTCAAACTCACAACTCCTTTGCTAATGGTCGTGATTTCAGACAGCACAAATGCAGCGAGCTGGACCAACCGGACGTTACAAAGTGTTTTGAGTGGTGTGGTCTTTTATGTCAGACACTATTTTCATTCAAAGTCAAGTATAATAATAAAGTCACGATATTGTTGTCATGATTGTTTCCTTTAGGCTGCGACCACGCTTCTGGCCGTTTCATCAGTGCACATCTGTATAAGTCGATTATCGATCATATTTCGTGAAATTAATATGCTTTCTAGGGTACACACACTAACAAATAATGCTCATCAGCCCTGTGTAGAAATAGCAACGAAGAAGTTGAAGCTAGACTGGATAATTTTCAGAATCATATTAGAATTTTTAAAATAAGTGACTTCATATTGAATTTGGTTCCAAACGGAAATAGTTCATTATTTCTACCACTTCACTCATTCCATTGAAATTTGTATTGTTTTCTGGGATAGATCACGTCAAAAGTAGTAGGCGGTAATTTTCAACGGACCGTCGTTATAGAGTGGGCGTGATGCGACCTTGTAATTTTATATCGGTCTCATAAGACTCCGGTTCCACGATTGATTTGAGGAATGGGATTGTTGTGAAGAAATTTGTAGCATTCCTCACATGACATTAATCGTAGCTCTAAGCTCCACAAGGAAAAAAGGGCAACGTGTGGCGTAGATTGTGTTTCGGCGCTTTGAGGCGTTTTGAGGGTTTCACAACACTTATTCGATCATATTGGGGATCAATATGAGGAATTTTAAACATCCCGCTAGAATTCGCTAAGAAGTTCTTTTTTTTGAAAAAGTCTGCCTCTTAATAAAACAACACCAGTAGAAGTACTGGTACTAGTACTCAAGTTATTCCAACTAACTTTTTAGAACAAAAACCCATCTATCAAACTTGTCACTGCTGATATACATTTGTTGTTAGTGTAGTTGTAAAGGTGAGCCTTCTGAATGTTAACGAGCGTTTCTTGGCGATGTGTAGCCCAATTCGGGCGAGCCACAAACATTTGGGGGGTCGCGGCTAAGTGTTTGTATCGATCGTTGGCACTGGTGTAATGCCGTCACTACCCCCGCATCTCGACAACAGCTGTACGGTGTGTGTTCTGGCGGATTCCATCCGTAATGCTGCTATTTCTTCTTCATCGATTAAGTTCGTGTATAGTTATTTTTGTTGTAACGTTTTAGATCTATCCTTTGTCGGCAGAATTTCTGCTGTTTTTTCCCTTCCTAGCTACGTTTTAGTAGCTCATAGCCGGTACTTGTCGTGTTGGTTAGACTGTTCCCTCCTTTTTCTTCTCCAGTATTTGTTCATTTTAAATTAAAGGTCTCACAGTTGTTTATAGAATATGGTTTTCTCGCACTTCTGAGATATAAATCATGATGTTCTCTGTTAATAATTAATTATTCATTGGGACAGGAAACTCAGTTTGTCAGCATAGTAAAGGTTCCCAGCCAAGGAAAGGATTAATGGGATGAATGTGGTGCTGGATGGCCGTAGATTGGACCTCATACCTTTTCTGGGATGAAATAGCTTTCGCAGCGATTTTTCTGAGGTTTTTATTATATATGGGCCTTATGTGATTTTATTATTGGGCGAAAAAAGCGTAATTTTGGTGGCTGGAGGATTGTTTTTCACCATCGCTTTATTGATCCTTCAGGCAAGCAGCTGAAATGCTCATCGACCTTTGAAAAACATTACTCAGTTACATGCTGTTGTTCCAGTTTGAAATGTATGTCGGAAGGTAGTCATGTGCAAAACTCTTATGGTGGGACACTTTCAACTTACATGTCACGGTAAGCAGCGCGTGCAGTTGCGGTCTAGACGCTACGACACTTGTGGAAACTGATAAACTTTATGCAAGGAGTGCTTCGACGCTAAAAAAACTATTGGGGTAGCCATAAATCAATCCTTAATATTTTGTTACTGTCCGGCGATCACTTGCGGTACAAACGACAGTTAAAGAGTGCGTCGTGAGGTCCCAGTAATCAGATGAGGGCTATGTCGCACGCAGGAAGAAGAGTAATTCTGAGGAGGTCAAGTCGCTTAGCGCCGGTAGTCTTCTCTCCTGGGCTTAAATGCACTTTGGAATAACAAGCAAGTTTATGTACGGAATTGAATAAAGTTGAAAAAATGGTGTGGAAATGAAGTCAGAGCTACTAGCAGGTAAGTTAGTACAGAAAAATTGCGGAAAAAATGTGGAAGTGAATACAGGGAATCGTGGCTCCACTATATTAGTTTTGCGGCTGGGTTCGTTGGCAGAATTCACGGTGAGAGTTCGACGAGGGCGCTTCATCGTACGATCTTCGAAAAACTAAGGACCTTCGACTAATTCGCAGTAAAAGGATGAACATTCGTCAGCGATTAGTCGCTTTGTGGGATGCGCCACACATCCTACTTCCATTCAGAATGTGGCATTTCGATTTGGCCTATAGACTTAAGGGGTGGGGCTAGCCGATGTTCAAGTCAGTGTTCCTCCCAGACAAGTCTGGTACCAATTAACCGACCCCGGAGGGATGGAAGGCTTGGTTGGCCCGGGCGACTCACGACCCAGGATTTGATCCCGGACCGCTCGCGTGGTAAGCGCGCCACTTGCCACTGCACCACTTCCGCCCTCTTATTTGCAAAGAAGATTCGATATTGATTAGGAGCACTTTGTATTTTTACGAATAAATACTTCAAACATCGGTTACTATGAAAGCTCGTTTTATAGCGATTTTTTCTAGTCGGGTAAGGGCTTTGAGTTTTTGTTCCAATTATTCTTTGAATGACTACGACCTGCAACTGGGGTAAAGGTGAAGGGTTACGTGTTTGTCAACACATACACGCTGGTGAAAGTGGAACTGTGGTCAATGAAAAGCGTGTTTTCAAAATCGTGGATAGTCGTTCATGTTAATATCTGGGAGCGGAAGTAGTGTATTGGAAGGCGCTGTTGCTTACCACGCACGCGGTTTGGGGATCAAATTCTGGGTTGTTCATCGCGGATCAACCAAACCTTTCTCTCCTTCGAGTAAAAACACGGACTTGTCCATCAGCCAGTCCCTTCCCTCTCCCGGCCAGTTCCAAGTCGTTGTATAGGCGCAGTCGAATTCTAATCGCCCCAATGATTCGAATGGAAGTAGAATGCGTGGCGCATCCCAAAACGGGATTGTCCTAATCGAATGCTTTACCCTTTTATTCTTTTATCAATATTTGGACAGTTGATGGAAATTCAAGTAACTAGAGAGCTTGCTTGCTGATAGGGTGGGTCTCATTTAGGGGTGGGCTTTAGGGGGATTCCGACTATTTCTAGAGGGAACAGTTACATACTTCTCATTGCATCTCAA